CAGTCACTGCAGGGTCAGCAATGACTGAGCGCAGACAAAAAAAAAAAAAAAAAAGGATAGACAAGGAAGCGGACAAGACGTCCAGGAAGAAGGCTTTGGCAAATGTTTTCTGCATGGTTGTCAGGAAAACTGTATGGATGTATCTACATAGTCATTAGGTGTTGAGCTGGATTCAAGGAATTGTTCTGTTTAAAATTATATTTTATTTATTCTGCAGGAGTGTGTTTACAGGGTTAAATTTAACTCTGAAAGATTTAATATTAATTATCTCACATCTGGAGGGCATCAAGTCATGGAAAATTATTGCAGTTTACATTTGGCTCCATAATGATCAAAATCTCTTTAAGATTCCCTCTCAAAGGTTCTTCTAATATATATATAATTCTGGAAACATTTCCATAATGTAGCTCTTTTTTATCTACACACTTTTCTAAAGCACATATTTTGGTGATCACTTTACAGTACTCTAAGTCAATGTTTCTCAGCCTCAGCAACTTTAAAATACATGGCCTTCAACTCCCAGAATTCCCCAATCTGCTGGCTAGGAGTTGAAGTCTGTACATCTTAAAACTTAGAAACACTCATCTAAGTTATGGTCTATGTATATATTTTCTCTTGCCAGGTTTGAGGCTACCTAGAGTACTGCAAGTCCAGAAGACTAGGAATTTTAGGAACTGTAGTCCCAATGTATCCAAAGGCATCACATTTGGGAAGGTTTACTGGCATGGTTGTTAGTAGTAATGCAATTTGATATACAAAATATTAAGAATCAGGAAATGTGCCTATTTGAAGAATATATACAAAAATTGCACAGTGATACAAAAACAGGATGGAATGAAATTAAGACTATAAAAATGAAAATCTGAGCAAAAGTAAACATGGCAGATCTGCCCATTCGTGCTAATACAGTAATTTTGTATTTTAAGCTAAAGCTGTATCCCTGAATTGCTCTACTTATGAAAATGCTAGGCTAATCAATAACATTTTTCATTCCATTTTTAAGGCTAAAGGGAACTTTCAACACAAAAGTGGATTGACCTGCAGTACTTCTTCTTTAGTTCTTGTATATAAATCATAAATCACCCATCATTTCTTTTTCCACTGTCTGCTTACTGATCATTCAACATTTCACAATCTTTTATTGGTTTTGCTCTAGAAAAAGAGATAACAATAAACCATACGTCTGCCAATCTTTAAGCCTGCTCACAAAGAGCCAGAATTTCCATTATAAATTCCGACCCTTTTCTAAAGATAAGGTTGGCACTTATCCATTAATTGCAAAATGCAATCAGCAGCATCTTTCAACAGACCCTTCAGCCAGGTTTCTTTCAGTTTCTCTGTTGTCTAGGTTATTCACCCACTGACTATTACAGTGAAATGAATTATTCACACAGATCTCTTCCTCCACTTCACCTTCACCCTGCTTTTCTATATGTCCCATCCATTTTAGCAGTTCAAGGCCACCTCTTTCCATATGTATCCTGGAGAGATGAGCTCTCTTGCCTCCTGCGTTTTCAGCTCCTTGGCACAACTGCAGCCTTGGCCCAGTTGCCTACAGAAGTGTTCCAGGGGCTCCAATAAAGAAATTGTGCATAAGGAAAATGGTGCAGTAATTTTTCAAGATATTCTGACTTGAAGAAGTAGACCATTCAATGAGTAGATTTTAAAATGAGAATTTTTCCTAGCTGACCATCTATCCAGCATAGCCAATAGTGATGGATGTGGGTAGTTGTAGTTCAGCCATTATCTCAAAGAATCTAAGTTCCTCAACTCTGATCAAGCCTGATCTAGTCTCTAAGAAGTCCAGCCATTTATGTAGAAGTCTACTGCAAAAGTGAAAGTGCTCCTTCCAACCTGTTCATGTGGCCAAACTTTTACTGGTCTGTCATTTTAATAGGCAGAACACATGCCACTTCAAAGTTATTTGATTTGGGCTTCTTTATGACACAACCAATAGTGAACCTAGGCAACCTATGTAGTCATAATTACAATGGACTCACATAGGTGGAAAGGGGGCAGGGCAAATTATAAAACATGCATTGCAATGTCATGACACAAATTCTACTTTTTTATATTTATATCATAACCTTAGCTACAAGTACATAAGATATGGGGCTTGCATTGTGCCATTATAAGCACACTCATCATTTTAATGAAATTTCAGCTTGCTACAAACGCTTGTGTGGACTCAGGAAAAAGAAACTCAAGTGCTTGCATACCTAGTTTTTATCAACTGTATAGAGCAGTGTTTCTCAACCTTGTCAACTTTAAGATATGTGGACTTCAACTCCCAGAATTCCCCAGCCAGCAAGCTCCACATACCTTAAAGTTGAACTAGGTTGAGAAACACTGGTATAGAGCTTGGCTTCCACCAGTAGGAAACATTGTTTCAGCTTTTTGATCAATGATTGCATGTTTATCGCATATTAGGACTGTGCAGTTTTTCTAGGACTTGCTCCATCCATTCTGCTTTGGGCAGCAAGACAACGTGTTCTTCTAAAACAGGCTCTTCCCTGTACGTAACAAATCTCTAGCTGATCCCTAGTTTGGAGACCTGGATCAGAGAGAACACCAGCTGACCTGAAGCGGTCATTCGGGGGGCTGCATAATCAAGCGGGAGAGACAAGTATAACTCTACCACTTCAAGGTGCAACCCCTCCATCACACTTGTCAGTTATTGTTCAGGCTGCTGCTGAATATGGGTTAAACCTATTCAAGTAGAGCACTAAAATAATTCTCAAAAGCTGCTGGAACAATAGATGAGCACCATGGGGTGGCTCTGTGAAGCAGCAGAGAGGGAGAACTGGCTTGCACACCCGTCCAACAGTTGTGGTCTGTGCTGTCAGTTGTTTGGGCTGAGCCAGGTCTCTAAGCTGGAGAGTAGTTCAGAGTCCTAGCAGATTCCCCCTCTCCCCTTTCCCTGCCAACTCTCACAGCCTACGGAGTTGATCCACAGGTTGGAGAGGCAGAAGGCAAAAGTGGGGAGAATTCTAAGAGATGCTAAGCCTGTCCACCTGTCGAAACCATCTCAGTGCTGGGATTGGGGATGGATTGCTTGCTGGTGATATTGAGAAGGTGGGAGAGGGAAGCTCTCTCTATACAAGAAATGGGGACACCACCCAGGCCAGACTGGCAGCACTGGGGGCTGGCAGAAGCCTTGTGGGTTTGCTTCTGTTGGTTCACAAAGTTGAGCAATGGAGAACTCTATATTACTGGTGGGGGTGTTACATGTATGGATTACGTCCTCCCCCCAGCCAATCCTGCCCTGATTGGATTTAACTGTGCAGACTTCATTAATCAGTTACCTAAGCAGTTATATTCAAATGGGATGAAAAGCAATGGCTGCATTTGCACAACCCACTGAACCCCACACTAGCCGTCCATCAGTTTAGCTTAGCATGGTGTGCCATCCCAACCTCTGTGGTTGGGTTATAGCTCAGGGACTCCAGAAAATCGGGTTAATTCGATAAAGGGTAAAAGTGTCAGGCAAAGCCAGAAGTATTTTTGAAACGTTTAGCACATACAGTATTCCTGTTCTGCTTCTCACAGGAAGGAATTGTCACCTTGGAGAGGCATCTCGTCCTGATGTGAAATGGATGGAGAAACGTCTCCTTCCAAGAGGGTGTTGCAAGCTTTTAAAATAATAATAATAATAATAATAATAATAATAATAATAATAATAATAATAATAATAATATCCAGTCTAAATATCTGGCTGACTTTGCGACCACCACCACCGATAATAATATGCGAGAACCGGGCGCGCATTCAGCCATGGCTATATTTTCTAAGTGCGTATCTCCCCGCCCAACTTCCAGCTACTGAAGCGAGGCAGAAGCGATGCTTCAGAGTCCGCCCCCCTTTCCATTGATTAACTTGTACCTTCCAAACAGGCAGGCAGCCGTTTTCCCATCCCTCCCCCTTGGACTGCGCTCCGCCCGGCGCCTTCCCTCCCCCGCTCTCCGCCGCTTGGCGACGCGCACATTGGCGCAGCGGGGCTGAAAGGACGTCGGCCGCTTCTCTTCGCTCCCCCGTTAGTGCGATAGTCATGGCTGCTGACGGGGTGAATGAACGGTCCCCGCTGCTGTCAGCGCCCAGTTCGGGCAATGTCACCCCGACGGCCCCGCCG